GAGTCACCCGTTGGGGGAGATGGGCGGCATACAAGTTTGATAATAAATAAAATAAAAAATATATATACATTAGTGTTCTTTTTTCCCCTCCCTCCCTCCCATGCCAATAAAATACAACAGAAAGCAGTAAAAGTAGCAACATATAACCAAGGGAAGAGGAGAAAATACCCTGCCATGTATATAAAACATAGTACATGCTATTAAGATTTCACATGCCTGTAAGATTTCCCCCTCCTGCCACAAGCCGAGGCACTCTACTGTTTGGTCCTTTGTTACCCTGTCCTTTCCAGGCCAAACAGAAGAACAACTTTGCTGCTTCCCTGAGGGTGACCATTTTGCCCTCTTTCTGTGACGTTGTACAACGAAGATCGGGAATGGGGTGAAATGTTGGCTGCTTGCTGAATTGAGCCAACTCCCCTCAAGTGGCCCACGAAGCGGGTGCTGGCCAGCTCAAGCAAGCAGAGCTTATGGGCGTTCTTGTGGTAGCACAACATCATTGCCATGAGCTTGAGTGACAAAGCTAATCAGTGAGCTAAATTGGTGAAGGAATTTCAAAGATAGATTGCAAAACTGCTATAACTGTGTCTCATCAGGATGTTCAATTATTTCCTGTGGCTTGAACAAAATTGGGTGTCTTCTCAAATCACGCTACACATTAATCAGTTCCTGACTGATATCTTTGTAACATTACCTAATAACAATTTTGAAGGGCTGGTGTTAATTAGGTAATTATTACTGTTTGTCCCTTCTGCGTGCCATTTTCCTCTGGTCTTACAGTTTCTAAATTCCCCCTATCACCCACATTTTGTATTTATGTATGCTTGTATATAATAGTTCTGAGCATGAAACTGAGCCAACTCAGGGAGGCAGTGAAGGACCGGAAGGCCTGGCGCAATATGGTTCATGGGGTCACGGAGAGTCGGACACGACTTAACGACTAAACAAAAATATAATAGTTCATGCCCTTTATGAAATGGAGCTGAGTTCACAGATTCTTATGTCATAATAAAAGTGTTAAGTGCTTAATGTTCCAGAATAGCTAATAATCAGCCAAGAAAGATTAATAACACACACACACACACACAGATGGATAGTGAGTGAGTGCGTGAGAGAGAGATGATAGATAGATAGATAGATAGATAGATAGATAGATAGATAGATAGATAGATAGATAGATAGATAGATAGATAGATAGATAGATAGATAGATAGATAGATAGATAGATAGATAGATAGATAGATAGATAGATAGATAGATAGATAGATAGATAGATAGATAGATAGATAGATAGATAGATAGATAGATAGATAGATAGATGTTAATATGGCTCAGTATTAAAACAATATTAGGGAATGTTAAATGAATATTATGTGCCCCATGAAAATAAAAAAGGTATTTCACTGAAATTACATTAAGGTTAATTCTCAGCCCACCTCTTAGGGAGAGGACAATGTGAGTCCAAAGGATCTCTTCATTTTCAGAGGGATCCTCAGACTGAAGCGCCTGTGGCATGGAGACCGCCTGAGGTGGTAGCAATGGCATCTTCTGTGGGCAGATGGCCAGCAAAGCCTCAGCTTTGCTGTTCAGGATGCTGAGTGTGCTTTCAGTGTTCCTTACCACGGCAGGAAATAGGCTAACAGGGTTTTCCAGAATAAGTTGTCCTAATGTCTCATTGTGATGAGTCCTCAGAGTGTGGCATCAAAGAAAGAGTGGCACCTACTTCTCTTGTTGTCTTACTCTAAGGACACAACAGTGAGGAGTAACTTCACCTGCAATCTACTTTTCATTTGGCCTCAGCCACAAGGTCTGTTGTTCTCCTCATGGAAAGTAATGTGAGTTACTTACAAGTTAGTAACTGGTTCTGCTTTTCTGGATTAGGAAAAAGCAGATGAGTGTATTCAGAGTGCCCCCACCACTACCACCACCCAACCTCAAACCAAGCTCTGTACTAGAATAGCCACTGCTCTTTTACTTCCAGGGGCTGGAAATTCCATTGTGGGCTTTTAAAAATTCTGCCATAGGAATATTGACCTTTAAATGTTCCTGCATCTAAAACTGAAAAAAGAAAAGACATGATTTCTAGACCATGGAAGAACAGATCAATCAAATGAAACCCTTGTGCTTGATGGGGACACGTGGGAGCTCCACAAGCTTCCCACAGTAATCAATTAGGATATTGATCTCATGGAAGATCAATATCCTAATGCTCAGACAATAACAAATAACATGAAACAGTGCCAGTAGGTGTCCAGTCCCACTGCAGCCACAGTAAAAATGGCCATGGAGAGATGGGAGGGGGCAAATTGGGACCCAGCAGTTCTTTGAAGGCTCTTTCTACATATGACCTAGCATGTCCACTAGGAAGTCTTCTTCTGGTATAGGATGGAAAATATTTGTTAATCCTAGCCTGACTTCAGCCTGCCTCAGCAGTGGGCTGATGACAAGGTAGAGGTTCCAGTGTGAGGACATACACTGCCAAATCATTGGTAAATCATACTTATCCTGGGGCAACCAAGATGAACTGATGAAATTCAATGTCAGAATGACAACCCCACTCTCTCTCACCGATGTTAGATTGAAGTGCTCTCATTCTTTTTAGTAAAATGGGAAAAATGGAGGCTGGAGGCAGGAAGGTGACATCCTGTCTAATCTGCTAGAAATCTCTAGTTAATTTTTTCCATGTCAGGTTGTTGAAACGTTTGAAATGGCTCATTACAAGATGAAAATTAGAGCTTGATCTCCCTCGGTAATGCACATCAAACCCCACTGCTTATTGATTTCAGCTGATGTGTGAAAGCTGGCTATAGATTTGTTTTCGCTCTGCTTCTAGAAGGATACACTTTTGGTTTTAAATGCCTGTGCTTCTCAGCCCTTTAGCCCTGTGTAATCAACCTCAGGAACCAAAACTATTCAGATGGTATTCTTTTTTTAAAAAATCTTAATTATCATAAAGCTAGATTCTGATCTTTGTTTTTTTTTCCCCCCTCTATCTGATTCTGGCTAAACGCCATTAATATAATCCTCTTCAGGGCCATTCTTATGCCATCGCATCGATTTCCTTCTCTGCCTGCTTTTCAGCTCTGAAATCCAATCTGTTGTAACAAAACGAGGCATGGCAAAGGCCAGCTCATCTGAGGATAAACATCTGGAAGAGGAGAAGGGGAAATTCCTTCCCCTGATGCTTTTTTTTTTCAAGAGGAAAAGAAACCGAACTGATTACTTGCGGGAAGTTTTTTTGTGACGTCATTCAGGGAACAGATAAAAAGGCTCCAGGCATAAGAACAGCTCCAGTACACAAACAGCGACGGCGGCTGCAGCAGCAATGGAAATCAGCATGCAGAACGGAAGCACGCTGCTCTCTTGCAATGAGCCAAAAGACATGCCAAGCGTGCTGGCTTTGCAGCCTCTCTGGGACTTAGTCAGAACGCAGGAGGGTTTGATGAAGTCTCCATTCTTCCCAGTGCTGTTCAACTTTATAACATACACAGCTTTCTGCCTGCCTTTTGTCGCTCTGGACTTTTTAAGCGCTTGGATCTCCGCCTTGAGAAAGTATAAAATCCAACCGCAGATGTCCCCCTCGCCGCAGATGGTAGCAGTCTGTCTGACTCAAAGCATCTATCACCACATCGTGTGTATCTTTCCAGTGACTGTTGCGCATTGGTACTGGAGGCCAGTGAGCTTGCCCAAGGTCGCTCCCGAGGTGCCAGTGCTTATCCTGGAGGTAGCTGTTTGCCTGCTGATGTTTGATTTCTTCTCCTTTTCGTGGCATTTGCTCCACCACAAGGTGCCATGGCTCTACAAAACTTTCCACAAGATCCACCACAAGCACATCTCTACCTTTGCTCTGACCACCCAGTACGCCAGCATTTGGGAACTGCTCTGGCTGGGTTTCTTTGCTGTAATAAGTCCGATGCTGCTGAACTGTCATCCATTGACGGAAATGACTTTCTTCATTGCCAACATCTGGTTTTCAGTAGAAGATCATTCTGGCTATGACCTGCCATGGTCAACCCATAGACTGGTGCCTTTTGGCCTGTATGGAGGCGCTCCACACCATGATCTCCACCACTTGAAGTTCAAATTCAACTATGCACCTTACTTTACACACTGGGACCGGCTGTTTGGAACTCTTAGTCATGGTGTCAGGGAAAACAATGTATCTGTGAAGGTCAACAAAGATTAATTTTGAACCCCATCCCTCACCCCATCCTTCCCAGAGTCAATATTTTGGAAACTCTGATGTGAAAATAAGCTGAGGAAATTTGTACTGCACATATTTGTGTTAATATATTTATATGTTGTATTTAATTAATATTCATAGCTTATGATGTTTGGAATTTGGTTCTAATGACACAAGCTTCGTGAAAGAGATGAAAACAGTATGTTTTTTCTGCGGATATCTGTGCTTTTATAAAGCTGCTATAAATGATCAACTAATATCTAAGTCTGCTGGCTGAAGAAATAATGCATACATATAATTCCTATGGAATTTCTCTTGTCTTCAAATTGAGGAGAAAAGGGTTCTTTTTGTAAACATTTCTGTTTGTTGCTAACCGAAACGTAGCACTGATCTTTTGTCCTGTGAGATTTAAATTATTTATATTATATTGATGAAATAAACCAAAATTTAATATTATTCCATGTCTGTTGTCTATGCAATTTTTGAAAATTCTAGAATGGTTTAATGTGTGCGACTGCTCTGTTAATTGGCTAAGAACTTCATGCTATATGGGTGTGTGCATGTGTGTGTGTTTGAAAAAAGAACTTAAAGAACTACTGTGCTGGAGAAGGAAGAGTTCAGTCCTTACATCTTGGGATTTCTACTTGCAATTTTTTTTTTTCTGCTCAAGAAGGATTACAGTATTCCTCCAGCTGTTCTGACAGTCTGTCTATCCCTCTAGAACTCTTACCACCTTATTCTGCAATTAGGGAATCAGGCCTCAGCTGGTTCACCTCTCTTTTGGTTTAGGTATAGTGCATTCAATATTGCTACACAGCAATGCCAAATACTATTTCTGTGGCAAAACACTGGTAGAGTCTTCTGGGGGTTGGGGGGGGGGGTGAGGGATCAGAGTCCTAAATCCTTGTTTCTACGTATCCATGCCTGCATAATGGTGTGTGCTGCAAGGATATCTACAGTATTACCATCCCTAAGTTTGCTCAGCGACAGTTAGTATTTCACTGTTAAAGAAAGATTTAAACTCCAAGGTTGGTATGTATAGTGTGGGTATGATCTACTTTAAAAAAAATAACACAATATTGTAGAAAAACAAACCCTACATTAACAGAACATGAGAAAATATTGGGAATTTCTCTCTATCGCAATTTTCAGAAGTGACTCATTTCATTTTACATACACACACACCAGAAGGTAATACATGTAATTTAAATTAACATTGTGCTATATTTTAAAAAAAGGGTTTTGGAATTTTTTGACTATTTGGCAGCCTATAGTACAGAGAAAAATGTTGCAATTCAGGTTTCGGTTTTCTGTCTTGGTTTGAGTTTTGGAAAGAACCTGCTACAGCCATTGAACTGTAGGCTGTTCTTACATTCATTTGGCCCTCCATATAAATGGTTATTGCTTATAGCAAGGGTAGTAAAGTAGACAATGCTAGGGATATATACACACGCATAAAAATATTTTAATTTTAGAGGGCTGAAGGGGCATGAGGAGTGGTGTGGTATGGGTCATCAAGACAGAATAGAGCAACATTTCAGTTGTGTTGGAGAACCTGGGGCTGGTTGATAAACAGCCAACAAAAAATTATGCCATCAAAAAAAATGGCAAATTTGACAAATTTCAGTGCAGTTTTTTTGGAAGGCTCTAGTGACTATAAAATGGGGTGGGAGCTGCATGCAGCTCAGGTCCTTACTTTGCCCATCCCTGCCATAGAAGGCTGAGCTGCAGAATACACATTTTTCCAGAAGCTCTTGTTGAATTCCTGAAATTTCCAGTTTGAAAGATATGATTACAGGAGATGGGGAATGTACCTGCCCCATTAAGGATATTCCCAGCAACCCTGTGAGGTAAGTTAGGGCTGAGAAAAAATGACCAGCTCAAAGTTGATATGGTGAAATGACACGAGATCTAGATATAATTAAAGATATGTCCCTGTGGCTGAAAACTCAGTGCCATGACTTTTTGACTTTTGTAACATTGCAACATCCTTCTTCATTATCTAGGCTTTTATGCTGCTCCAATTAATCCAACATTGGGCGGTTTACGATTTCGGAGGTTAAGGAGCTGCTACAATTGTAGAACATATTGCTCTGTCTAGGTATCTTAATCTAATAGGGGAGCTCCCTAACTTTCTAAACAAATTGCAACCAAAATATAAATACCATGACTTTGTTACAACATCTATAAACCAAAGGAGCCCAGGTTTAGAAAAGTCAGATACATTTTGCCAACTTTGCATGTCACAAAGCTGTCTCACATGAATTAATGCAACTAACAGATGTGGGCCTTCATGCAGGTTGCTGATGTGCACTCCTAGTCATGACTGATGCTAGGAGTTGTAGTTGGGCAGGCGAGGGACCATTCGCCCTGTGCCTCAAGCTCAAAAGGGACCAGAAATTTAGACAAAAAAACATTTTTTTCCTTTGGTTTTACTTAAAGTACTTCAGTTATGCCTGGCTTCAAAAAGTGGAGGTTTCCCAGCCTCTCTGGATCCATAAGGTCTCATAATTATAGATGAACAAATGCATAACTGAGATGATTATATATTACTTTTTACCCTGCATTTCCTCTCAGAAGTTTGACCTGCGGATATTCCCAGCAACCCTGTGAGGTAAGTTAGGGCTGAGAAAAAATGACTAGCTCAAAGTTGATATGGTGAAATGACACGAGATCTAGATATAATTAAAGATATGTCCCTGTGGCTGAAAACTCAGTGCCATGACTTTTTGACTTTTGTAACATTGCAACATCCTTCTTCATTATCTAGGCTTTTATGCTGCTCCAATTAATCCAACATTGGGCGGTTTACGATTTCTCCATATGGTATTTAGGATCACAAGCCTACATAATACCTCATAAACAAAAATATTTCATGATCAATAGCCTACTTTCTCATCTCATTCCATCTCTTGAAGCCACTTCCTCAGGAGCAGCATTCAATCTTCTGTCCTGTTCTTGAAGGCCCTATTAGAGAGCTAGGTCTCCACTGTCCTCTGAAACTCTAACAGGGTTGGGTTGCCCTTATTTTTCTGGGGCTAAGCTCTTCCAGAGGAGGGGGGACACCAGCAAGATGGCTCACCCTTGGAAGTTACAGTGTTCAATTTCATTATTGACATTTTTAAGGACAGAAAGAAAAATGGGGTGGGGAGAGGCTGTTGTTTTCAGTAGCACGAAAGCATCATTCAGGTGGATATGAATGGCAAAGTAGAAGCAGCACCTTGGCTCACAATAGTGTGCAGATAGGACCTCAGTCTGAAAGGACATATTGCTCAAAGAGCAGATGATACAATCAACAGGAGATCGTAATTCACTTTATACGATATAGAGGCCCATGTAGCCCAGGCTTGGGGAAAATAACATTATTAATTGGGGAAGAGAATATGGGTGGAATCTAATACTCAAACAGTTTGTTTCCATTGGCTCACAGTTATAATACGGCTCAAGTGTGTGCTGTTTGAATTAGTTAAAAGGAAATGTGTGGAACTTTGGACATCTCATGACTATGCGGTTTGGTCTACTTCACATTTTCATTGAATGCTGCAAATGTGTCCTTTCTCCAATCCAAGGGGAAAATCCAAGGGTTTGATGATAGAATTCTCTTGACTCTGCTTTCCATTCTGTTTGAACAATTGTGACTTGTTCTTGCTCATTACCCTTCTGGGGAAATCCCTTTTTTAAAAACTGAAAAGTTTCTGCATGTCAACCTTTCCATAAAGCATACATAATCACAGATTTGGATCTTTGAATTTGATTGCCAAAGCTTCATCTTCTGCTGCTGCTGCCTGTATTTATTCAACCTTTCACTTTCTCACAGAGCTGGTGAAAACGCTGCCACTCCTTCCCTCCTTTTCATATTTTCAAGGACAGCTTGTTTGCTCTTGTCTCCTTCCTTCTAAGTAGTTTCATTGCCCAAGGCAAGGCTTATCAGATAAAAGAGAAATAATTAGAAAGGTTCGAGGAAAAATACCTCCCCCCCCCGTCCCCGGTTGAG